TTTGTTAAAGAAACTATACTGTGAAGTAGCTGAAAGTCTGCAGATTCTTATCATTTGTTCGGTTTTTCTGAATAATTTGTAAAACATATGAGGAAATAGCTGTAACGGTGATCTAAGTAATTTCCATCGCCATATTTTATTGGCATTGCAAAAATATTTGGAATTTAATGTTAATATTTGGTGTAAATATGATCTATAAATATATGATTTAAAAAAATGCCAACAAAATGAACAGTTTGACTTTCCTATATATATAAAATTAGCTGAAATGACCTAATTTGCATATTTGATGAATATTCTTAATTTTTTTTTCTTCAAAAAAAAATATATTTCCATAGATTTTTCGGTAATTTTGCGATATAAAAAAAATGGTATAAAATCACAACGCATTGATAGATTTCAATTCTGTTTTTTGTTTTTTGAAGCTTTCATTAAGCTTGATCATTTGCAAACATCAAATAACATGTGTTTGTTGTACTTATTTTTGGTGTGCTATACCTAGTACTATTAGTTACATTTTGTTTGAATGTCAACATTTTAAAAATATTATATTGTGTATACATGTACGTTACAAAAATATGTTATATATTTTATAACTATGTTGTATCGTTGAATTATTTATATCTGTCATTCAAATCCTTATGAGATTCATCTTCGGTGGTTAATGTTCTTATTGAAACTCATCTACATTCATACCGTCTATATTCTTCTATAATAATTCACAGGTCATAATTGAGCAATTATCCTGACTTTATAAGTTTATTATATTGTGTTTGCTCTCTCTCCTTTTCTATAAATCACCCGTCTTTCTCGCTCTTCTTTCTTTCTTTCTTTCTCTCTCTCTCTCTCTCTCTAATCCTTTTTCTCCTTTATTTCACCCTCTCACCCTCCTCCCATTTCCTTCATTTCTCCTGCCCCCTCTCTGTCTTTGTTTCTCTCTCTCTCTCTCTCTCTCTCTCAGGCTGTCTACCATTCTAAAGAACGGCTTACGTGATATCGCTCACACTGGGGAATTCCACATGTTAAAACTATAACATAATTGCTGGGTCTTCGTACTCGGGGTAGCCACATGCATGTACCACGTCAGTTCAATAATGCACAGCGACTAATATTACCCCATTATGGCCAGGTATACCCATTTACATTAGGGTGAAGTTTGTTTAAATTCATGTGTAAAAGTGGTATGACCTTGGTTATCAAACAATTATTCTATTGGGTTTTTCTTTAAATCAAAAATGGATTTTCATCAGAATAGCTTACAATTAAATATTGTGTCTTGTTTTGGGCTTCAAGTGCAAATACAAGAATCAACCCTTCTTATTTATTGTTAAAAAAGAATTGCTTCTCATGTATGCTGCATGGCACCCTTTATTTAGCCCATAAAAACCCATTTTGTTTGAATTTAAAACATTGGCTATCTTTGATATAGCTCAACAAAGTTTGAGCTTTATGTTTAAATTCATGAATAGCCTGTTTCCTGATTCATTTAAGAATTTCTTTGTATTAAATAACACTATCCATTTTACCCTACTCGGAATTAATTGAACTTTTCATTTGATAAATCTTCAATTATTGACCCTGCATTAATCAATAATACATCATGGACCTGTTTTACGGAATGCATGCTCATTAAAATCATGTAAAACTTTAAATTATTTTAAATTCAATACGAAGAAAGCATTTCTGTCAGAGTACATTGTTTGATCTTTTCCCAGTGCTATTAAATTATTCGATATTGCTCTCAAATTTCTATGAAAGTCCATCACTTTATTTTATAACTCCTGTATACAATAATTTTTTCTGTGTCAGACATATTAACATCAACACATTTTCATTTTCATTCTTATCATCATCACCATTATCATCACCATCATCGTTTATTTTAAATTCTTTTAATCAACCACTCAGCACCGGGCTATCACGCTATCAAGCAAACGCTTATTGTGACAACCCTTCTTCTTCTGCAGATGTATTAATGAATAATTCTTGATAGTGTGTTATTAGTTACATTTTGTTTGAATGTCAACATTTTAAAAATATCATATTGTGTATACATGAACGTTACAAAACTGTGTTTTATTTTTTATAATTATGTTGTATCGTTGAATTATTTATATCTGTCATTCAAATCCTTATGAGATTCATCTTCGGTGGTTAATGTTCTAATTGAAACTCATCTACATTCATACCGTCTATATTCTTCGATAATAAATCACAGGTCATAATTGAGCAAATTATCCTGACTTTATAAGTTTATTATATTGTGTTTGCTCTCTCTCCTTTTCTATAAATCACCCGTCTCTCTCGCTCTTCTTTCTTTCTCTCTCTCTCTCTCTCTAATCCTTTTTCTCCTTTATTTCACCCTCTCACCCTCCTCCCATTTCCTTCATTTCTCCTGCCCCCTCTCTGTCTTTGTTTCTCTCTCTCTCTCTCTCTCTCAGGCTGTCTACCATTCTAAAGAACGGCTCACGTGATATCGCTCACACTGGGGAATTCCACATGTTAAAACTATAACATAATTGCTGGGTCTTCGTACCCAGCTAGGCAGCCATGTGTGCCGCATCAGTTCAATTATGCACTGCAACTAATACTACCCCATTATGGCTAGGTATACCCATTTTTATATAGGCGGAGTTTTTTTATTTATTTTGTAAGTGGTATGACTTTAGTTATCAAACAGTTATACTATTGATTTGCCTTTTATTATAAGTGGGTTTTTCCATGTTCTGTACAAATACATAAAAAACCGCACCTAAGCGGCAAGGAAAGCCACATGCTACTTGTAAACTATTTTAGCTTGGGATTGCCTTCTGTACATGAATATCCCTACATAATGTAATGATAAATGGTGTAGAAGTAAAGCGGTTGATAAGGAGCTGTCCAAAACTGGAGATTTGGCAAGGTCATAGTATTGCACGATAAATGGAAATCCTTTCGTACCTAATTAGTGACTATTTTGTGGGCCAACATACATGTACATACGTGGCAAATGAGATGTTTATAACATCTTTGATTTAAAAATAAAAAGGGTACAATATATTAAATACAACCTTTGCGCTTCAAACAAATGTGCTATCTTTTGCTTGCTCAATGAATAGAAGCAGTATTTGCCACATCATTCTATATTTATCATAGGCATCTTTATGTTTGATTGTCTGTGGGTTTTCCCACCGTATTCAAGACAGGGTCGATGCATCTGGGTATGCTAGACATGGTTACATACAACGAGGGTTGTAGAATGCTTGAGCGCTTTATCCTGTAAGAATCAGAGAAATATATTTGTTGGTATTCAGCGCTTTGTCTCGTCTGTTAATTAATATAAAATGGAAAAAAATGGGAGAACGCTTTGTAAGTTTAAAAAAACTTTTAATCATCACGCGATAACGCTTGGTTATCATGATGGCAAGAAATTCATTTGTTTCGAAACAATTGCCACCCGGCATGCCATGGCTTATTATTGATATGATTTATTAATGGTATTTTATTTGCTGAAAAAGACGGACAAATCAATCTGAATACCTTTGTGCGCCTTATGTTCTTTATATCTAAGGCTTTATTTTCATTTAAAGCATACAGAAAGATATGTGGTTAAAACAAAGTCTTGGGGTGAACGGGGTTATGAGCATGCTGCCCCTGAGCTATGTAATAGTATCCTACATAATGTAAGGCAAGCTTAAATACAGTACAACAATTCAATACTGCTCTTAAAACACATTCATGCATGTGATTAATCGATGTTTGTACTCTAACATATTTTCCCGCAGCTTTTCTGTATGCCTTGTATCCTAATACCACATTTCACAGCAACACAGATGGTTTTTTTCTTCTCTAATTTCTCCTATCTTCCTTTAAATTTTCGTTAATTTCAGTTTTTATGCTTTTACATTAATATTGCTCTTTGCTAGTTTTCAATTTGCTCATTTTTTCTCATCATCTATAAATAATCTGCTTTAGTTTTTATTCTTCTATAATTTTTTTTCTTTCGAGAACTGTGTTTATTGAAGCAGAGATATTGATAAAGAATAACAATAACAATAATAATAATACAAATGATAATAATGATTATGATAATAATCATAATAATAATAATGATGATAATAACAATAATAAAATTAACAGTACGAATGATTAGAATGATAATAATAATAGGAACAATAGAAAATTAAAAAAATGATAATAGTAAGAATACATTTTAAAATGGTAATGTTTATAATAATAATAATAATAATGAAAATCTGAATTAATCATAGAGAATGGACAAGAGAGTATAAACATGAAGGAAATAAACTAATATTTTTAAGCAGAAGGCATACCTTTTCGAAGATCGTTGGATCATAAACGGAATCCAAGAGGAGGCTGTCTTTTAATGACAATTTTGTGTATTGTAGCTTCCAGGCCTAATAATAATGGATGGGTTAGACAATTTTCTATATTGGCTCAAGTTCAGGCTTCGTGTGAAGTGTTCAATATATTAATTCTGCTTAACTCAAAAGATATTGATTTAGAGAAACAAATCAGGTGCTATTAAATAACATTGTTTAGGTATATCATCAACAAAACAAACAAAAAATCGCATTTTCCCTTTAAAATCTAAAATTTCCCAATGTATGAGCATGATAAAGTGATACAGTGAAGGTTGCAGAATTTCTTGATATATCAAGTCAACCCGAGTCACAGTAGATCGGATTCAATAAGACGGTGTCCTCTGGTCATTGATGGTAAATTCCCAAATCCACGAACATGATGAAATCCACAGCGAAGGACGGGGAAATTTCTCATGGTTACAAGTCCATTCCCAGCCATTAGAGCAGATGATGAAACAAGCTATTGGGCTCTGGGAGATAACTATGCCCTCATCTCTGATTGGTCAATCATACGACCGACGGGGTCTCTGATTGGCCATGTAAAGCGGGCTTTCCCAAATAGTGGGTGTGTCACCATTGATTTGATGCAGTATAAGAATACGTGTCAACGTTTTGTACGCCACATAATCCCTTGGACGACATTAGCGATACTTGTGACAGCGGTAGGCTTTACTACTTTTTACAGAGACGTATTATCCTAGACGTATGATCGAATCGATCAGAACTTCTCAAGGAAACATTTTACATGCGCATTCAGCATTTCTATTTCACTTTGAAAAACAGAAGTCTTGCTAGATTTCATTTGACATAATCTGAAGCAAATTGTCTGCACAGGTAAGAGAACATTTTTTTTACTCATTATGTTATACGGGGGTGGATATATTTATACGGTGATATTTCACCTGCTCAGTGGGGAAAAAAAACAGACAAGCAACTAAAAGAATGAAAATAGTACATTTTAAAAAGGGTTTGGTTCGGAAATGAAATATGCATAGAGGGGTTAAAGGGACTTGGTAACATTATTCAGGTGAGAGAAAATGGTGCTACGGTAGTTACTTCAATTCTAGAAGTACAAATAAAGATAATCTGAAAGTTTTAGTAAAAAAAGACCATTATTAATGATACGAATTGGGAAAAATTTATCTGATCGATTCCTTAATTCTCCCAACTATATTATTACAATTTAATTACATTTTAGGTGAATATAAATCTTCACAAAGCCATGAATTGGCTTTGTATACTATTCCAGACATTTAAGTGTTAAAGATTTTTAACGCCTGTCTTTGTCTCATTTTCATGGGAAAACGTTGGGGAAATTCATAAATGGTTGTGAGAATTTACTATTAGAGGGTGTTGCACAGTGACGCCTTCTAATAAAACCTTAAATATCTTTGTGGTTTGATATTTTTTTCCAGGAGTTTTTGCATGTAAGAGGGTTAGTACAGTAACAGGCATATAATTAGTAACATTTCATACAAAAATTACGCATTTTTTTCATCAACTTTCAACAATGTTACCGAGTCACGTTAAGTATTAAGGTATACTATTTGGTTTTTAAACCGGGGCAAGGGCCAACAGTCGCCATCCCCCTATTAACCCGCCACTGGAATATTTATTGTCGAATTAAAAAAAAAGGAACATGCAGATTGAAGATGATAGCGAGATCCACAGTCGTTACATTCAATATGTATCTCATTGGCTTCTGAAAGCAAATATCCACGATATAATATAGGCCTAGTAGACCTGCCAAACAGTAGACTCTAGAAACAATTCCATGGCATTTGGGGGCAATGCATGGCATCCATGATAAAATTCTTCAAAAAATACTCATCAAAAAGATCAGGGTGGATGCCATTCTCTTTTTCATATTACTAAAAATGTAATATTATGTACGGCGCAATGAAAAATAAAAATGTGATTTACTCAGTATAGGCGGTGTCACACAGAGGCCAAAAATCCGGATTTTAGTTATCCTCTTAATTGCTGTCTGTCATCAATTATCCCATGAAAAATCGTCTAACGAAGCAAGAAAATTCTCCCTTGAAAGGATTTTTCAAGGGATTTTTTAAGGGATTTTTCTGTGTGACACCGCCTAATATGGGGTAATAAAAACTACTTTTTTCAAAACTACTATTTCAACAAAATGTACACACCATAAATTTCTCAATTTAACACTTTTTCTTGATTAAAGATATTATATGTTGTTTTGCCACACGCAGATGACAATATAAAAACAGATTTAATTATGGGATAGTATCAGGCAGCGATTTGAGGTCCATGAATATTCTCATATGATAATACGACGATATTCGGGCATCTCGTTACCCGCGTATCATCATGATTCGCTCGAATATATCCTCATTTTTATATATTTTTTTTATATATAGATGAAATTCGTACCACAATAAAAAGTCTTTTTCCTCCTTTTATCTATATTCTATTAGTACCGTGATGTTTTATTCCTATCATTCTCTTCCACAGCAGCATATTAAGAAGAATAGAATTTCCACTAATGTTTTTTTTTCTTCACATTTCATAGAACTCAATCTTCTTTTTAAAATGTTTGCTATGCATACCCCCCCCCCCCCCCCATTCCGTTTTCATCACTTTGCCAACAACATTTGTACTTCCTTTCATTATTCTCCAACAAAATAACGTTAGACGTGTTTTCTACAATTTTGCATCTTGTACAGATACAATATGTCTTCGAATCAGCCCCCATCCCAGGTGAGCGCTGGAGCCAACCGCACGGGCTACACACCTAGCGGAATCGGTTCAGGTACTGCTGCAGCTGGTCATATGTCCTCAAGTGCGAAGTCTCATGGCGGAGGAGTCCAGAAGGGAAGCACGGTCTCTAGCATGCAGTCGGCGGGGAGCAAGGGCAACTACTCTAAAGGAGTCGGAGGGAGTAAAAAGTAGACCTGGACATTCGAGACCGGTCTGGAGATCTAGTTGATCGAGGCCAACTTAATTCTAGCGACAGAGAGATTCGAAGGAGGAATCGCTAGCAAATAGTCATTAAAAGAAAATATATTATTTACGTAATATTATTTTAATCCAAGTTTATCCCATTGCCGAACAGTTTAATATCTTCTTAATATCCTTTGTTTCGTGAAATATAATTTCAATAATTTTATGTCTGTTTTTTGTTTAAGTCCACAAAACGGAGCATTAGAAATGTCGACACAAAGAGAAATATAGTAACATAAAGAACCTTTAATTCCAATATATGAAAGTATGTCTTTTAATGTGCAAAATCAATATTCGCAATCGTGTAAGATTTATACGAAAAGGTCTTCAACTGCTTTGCAATCGTAGCATTGATGTTTGATTGGTTTGATTGGTAATTAAACTGGTATTAAACCGTGTCCTTTAATGTACAGCTATTAAATAAATAACTTTCATCATTACCATGTCGCTCTCATTTTATTCTAATAAATGACCGCAAATTTAAGCAGTATTTGTTATCATTTGCAAAATCACACGATTGGGCCTACCTATTTGTAACGTTTAAAAGGTTCGAATGAACAAAAATGGCAAAATTATTGTTGATTGAATCAGTAATTTCGTTTGTCTGTTCTAGTTGCCCGTAATAATGAATCAAATAACTTCAATTTCTACTCTGTAAATTTGTTTTGAATGTCATCTGTCAATGAGTATCAATAATTGTCTAATATTCTAAATTAAAAAGCCTCGAACAAAAAAAATAATGTCATGGTTTATTAATTATGATTGCGTGTTGTTAACAATAATTTTTATGTGTATCATTTTATTTGAATGTTTTCATTTCATTAATTAATTTGGGTGGTTCGTTGGTTGTTGTTATGATTGACTGACTTACTGTTTGATCGACTAAATTATCTGTTGGTTGGTTGAATTTGTCATTTGATTGTTTTAAAGATTGAATTAACGATTGATTGGTTGCAGTTGCGTACGCACGATTTATTCAAAGGGGGGGGGGGGGGGGGGTAAGAGGACATTTTTTTATTTTTTTTTTGGTCTCGAAATTTGAAGATTTGACATTTTTCTTCGTTGGGGGGGGGGGGTAAGGTCACCTTTTTTTTTAGGTCAGCCATTGGCATAATTGTTACTTTTTATTTATTTTTATAATTAAAATTTTAAAAAATAATAAATTAAAGTTTCCTCCAAAATACACACATAAAAAATACCAAAGGGGTGGGTTCAACCCCCAAACCCCCCCCCCCCCCCTGCGTACGCGCGAGATTGGTTGGTATTTGTTAAAGTAACTGCTTGATTCCTTAGTAATTCATTTAACGATTGATTGATTGAATGAATGATCGGTTGGTTTGTTGATTGGTTGGTTGATTTCTTTATTGATTGATTGTTTGTTTAATATATTAAATTGTAAATTGATTGGTTGGTTGGTTAGTTGGTTAAAATATGAGAATTCTAAAGCTATGCGAAATGGGCAATTTTGTCAGTGGATTGTGACGTATTCATGGACAACTCTTTCTTTTGTCGTGTACAAACAATATATTCAATTTCTGTTTTTATTTTATTTCTCCAAAGTGCTTTCATTGCAGCAGTACTTGAAATATATAATGGTTGTCATATTATTATATGTCCTTAAAAAAGAAAAGATACTCCTGATTCATGCATTTTGAAGAACAAAAAAATATTTTTTGCTCATTTTATAACAGATTAGGGAAACAAAATGCCTGGTGTAAATGTCGTTGGAATACATTTTCGGACCCCCAAATAAAGGGGGAGGTAGCAGTCATATTGGCCTAAATTCACAAAGGAGGTTTGTCGACAAACCTAGGTTTATGTGCGTCATATCATATGACGTATTTCGACGCGTTTCAAACATAGGTGTGTGTACAAACCTAGGTTTGAAACGCGTCATATGACGCACATAAACTTAGGTTTGTCAACAAACCTCCTTCGTGAATGCGGGCCATTGTGTTCCAGGAGTTACAAACAAACTGACTGAACGCATACGGGCAATAGAGGGGGCTCCAACCTATATAGGATCTCTATACCTTAAGGAAAACAATAGTGGAGGCTTTCAATGAAGGCTTTGAAACAAAAATGTTATCCAAACCACAGAGACAGGGGTAATTACACTAATTGAGAAAGAAGGCAAAGACCCTTTGCACATGAAAAAACTATAGGCCAATTACTCTCTTAAATGTAGATTATAAAATATTGTCAAAAGTATTAGCTGCAGGGGTTAAGGAGGTATTGGGGGATATTATTCATCACGATCAGGTGAGCTATGTTAAACATCAGAATATTGGGGAAGCGTTTCGGTTAATTGATCATACTTTCTTTCAATCATCATCTCAGCCATTATGTTTTTTTAATTGCCGTAGACTTTGAAAAGGTATTAGACTGCATTTCCCATAAACTTAAAGGTAAAGACCAGTTATGGTCATGCGATTGCATTGTGAAAGAAACGTTGTGGAATCGATCAGAAAAGGTTGATCATCTAGCATCTAGCATCTGCAAGGTTCTGGAATCATCAAAATGATAAGAAATTTGGCCCATTCTTCGTAAAGTTACAAGCACTATACACAGACAGATGTATATGGGACTACCCTATGTCTCTCACAGACCATGAGAGAAACAAATTTACCAAATATACGAATTAGTAGGCGGTTTCCCGGCAATTTTTTTATCATCATGTATTAGTCAAAACATATTCTTTCACATGATTGGTAATGAGAGCTTCCATTTCATTTTCTGAAATTGGGGCGTTTCCAATACTGGTCTTTACCTTTAAAGCTTAAGAACATTCTGGGTTTGGTGAAATTCTGTATTCTTGGGTTAAATCCTTTACAATAATGTTAGCAGTTGCTTGATGAACGCGGGACACTCAACCGGATATTTTGAAGTTAATTAATAGAAGAGTAAGACAAGATGGCCTTTTATCTCCATATTTATTTGTAATAGTTATCGATTACTGGCTCGTCATATTAGGAAAGATGGGAGTATTGAAGGAGTAGGATTTCGGAGTAGAGAAATACAACAAGTCTTGTATGCAAATGATATTATATTGTTTTTAAAAGAAATGGATTCCATTAATAGAGTAGAGAAAGCTTTTCAAAAATGTTGACAAATTAAGTGGATCGAAGATAAATATAGATAAGACAAATTTTATGTTGTTGGGGTAGGAAATTGATAGGCTGGGTTAACCTCTGCTCAGACATTGGGTACAACATATACAAATCCTAGGGGTACTAATATTTCGCACGTTATTCCAAAATAAAAAAATGATTTGAACTATGCAAACATTTTGAGCAAAATCAAAAGACTAATCGGTTAGTGGAAACAAGGAGATTTAACGATGTTTGGCAAAATTTAATTGTTGAAAATATATGTATTTTCAAGACTTAATTATATTTCGTTTGTTATGACAGTCCCACCGAGCATTTTTAAAGAAATCGATTAAAAAATATATATATTTGGGGAGGGAGAGACAGAATAAAACGGGAAATATTATATCAAGATTACAGAGTAACAAATGTCAAGATATTTTTCAAGACTCAGAGAATAATGTGGATCAGACGGTTGCTCTATGAAGAAAAGTATTCAGGTCGGAAAGTCTGATATCAATACGATGGATCTGATATAAAGACATGTTGAAAGCATGGCAAGAATTAGATAAGTGAAGATATTTTGGAGAAAAGAAGAATAATCCGGTTATATTAAATAATAAGTATATATGTCTCAGCAATCAAACATTTTTGGATGTCGAATCATTTCAGAAAGGTATACTTCAAGCATCAGATATAATCGCCAGAGGTCATTTAAAACCATTCTTTAACATTTTTATAATTCGGGTTTTGCAAACGAAAGCTTGCTTGGAATTCAAAAGATCTTTTCAACAATCAGAGAAGAATGGATTCAAAATGATTTTATGGAAGTGGACACTGAAAATTTGAAATAAAATTGATAATTGATGGAGGCGCGATAGCTCAGTTGGTAGAGCAGTGGTCTCGTAATCCGGCGATCCGGGTTCGAAACCAAGACGATGCGCTTACGGCCCGGTCCCACTGGCCGATGGACACAAAACGTATGCATAAAGGACACAGCGGACGAGCAAAATTTCGGGGGTGGCTCCATCCGTTTTCATCCGCTCCAGAAATGGACAAAATTGGCGAAAACAGAACGGAAAATAACGAACGTGGGTAGTATGTAGCGGGGATGTTAAACGGATGTTCATCGGAAGCCTTGCGGATGAAAGGGGATGGAAGTGGATGACAGCTTTGAATACTTTATATACGAGATGCATACGCTTACATCCTTTCTATTTCCGTGCTACTAACGATGTATAGACGTTCCATGTACCTTATCTTTCCTCCCTCTTTCCGTTTTCAGCTGCAGCGGATGTGAGTTGCGAGGATGCCCAGGGGATGCAGAGAGGATACAGCGGACGTTTAACGGATAATAACGGACATAGAACGTTTGTTGCTCGTATTTGTCGCGGATTTACATCGTATACGGCGGAAGTTCATCCGTTCTAAAAGTTTTGTGCAGCTCAAAACTTTTTGCGCGGATGAAATCACAGTGGACGGATGCTCGATGGATAGAGCGTATGAAACACGTATGCAATGAGTACACAACGGATGCATAGCGTTTTCCAACGGATGGCAAGATTTTTTTACGTTTTACATCCTCTTTGCATCCGTAAGTGCAGTGGAACCGGGCCTTTACAGAAATGGGAACAAATCGATGCATTTTTACTTTAATGGATGTTTTTCTTCTTCTCTCTCTTGTACAGGTGGACAAACCGGAACAGGTTGCAGTGTGTGTGTGTGTTGGTGTGGAAGGGGTGTGGTGTGGGTGTGCTAGAAGGGGGGGGGTGGGGGTGTCATGAGTTTGTTTAGTATGAGTGTGTGCGAGTGTGTGAGTGGGTGGGACTAATTGTATTTTCATACCTTTCTTCATTGTTACTACGATTATAAACTGTAATATTAAAGAAAAAATGTACAATCATGTATAATTTGAGATTTTTCTATGTTCATTGTTCATTAGTTGATGTAATTTATGAGTAGTGTCTTGTATTACGTATTGTGCTAATTTCTTGTAATGTGAATTTATGAGGAAGAAAATAAAATATAATTAAAAAAATATATAATAATAATGGATTGGGTGAGATTACATGTATGTTACTTTTTACCTTCCTTTATTTTGATTATAAACTGTTATAGGAAAGAAATAAATGTACAATCAAAGTATAATTTAAGATTTTTCTCAAATGCGATTTCTCCCCCAGGGTTCAATAAACTTTTCACCGGGGAATTCCGCATAAATAACTGTATTGTTGTTTTCATTTCCGTTCTTCGTTCTTGTTTAATCTCAATCAATTGGGTTCGATGTTCGAGCACAATCTCTCTCTCTCTCTCTCTCTCTCTTTCTCTTTTTCTCTCTCTCTTTCTCTCTCCCTCTCTCTCTCTCTCTTTATTTCTCTCTCTTCTCTCTGTTCAACCTTACCCTTCTGCAGTCCTTTTTTCTTCCTATTCTCCTTCATCTTTAGGAAACATCAGTCTATTCGTGTCTATAAGCACCGTTTGATTATTATTATTATTATTAGTAGAAGTAGTAGTAGTAGAAGTAGTAGTAGAAGTAGTAGTAGTAGTGGTAGTAGTAGTAGTAGTAGTAGTAGTAGTATTAGTAGTAGTAGTAGTAGTAGTAGTAGTAGTAGTAATAGTAGTGGTAATTGTAGTAGTAGAAGTAGTAGTAGTAGTAGTAGTAATAGTAGTAGTAGTAGTAGTAGTAGTAGTAGTAGTATTAGTAGTAGTAGTAGTAGTAGTAGTAGTAGCAGTAGTAGTAGTAGAAGTAGTAGTAGTAGTATCCAGGGCTACATTATTACGGTGGAATTAAGTTGGGTTGAGGCTTCGGGGGAGGGGGGGGGGGCATTTGGTTTACTGCGTAAGTGGTATGACCTTGGTTATCAAACGATTATCATATATTTTTTTTTGTAATCATAAGTGCCAAGTGGGGTTTTCCATGATCTGTTAAAATACATAACAAACGCACTTCAACGGCAAGTGCAGACTGTGCAGTCACACGCTATATTCTATATTTATCACAGGCATTTGTATGTTTGATTGTTTGTGGGTTTTCCCACCGTATATGCAAGGCAGAGTCGATGCATCTGCTTATGTTAAAGGTAATACAAAGTTTTGGTATGGGGTCATGAATTTGGTTCAAATGAACACATTGGAAGCATATGCGACCCTACAATATTCAGTGATCGTTGTCGCGGTTGAAATCGAGTTTAAAGTTATGAAATTGTAAATAATAAACTCTTCATGTTGTATGGCTCCCTCTCAAGGTCAAGATATTAATTATGCTATAAAACAACGTTTTTGACTGGAATCGACCGATTAGCTATTCCGTTTGGAAATGATATATCACAACTACATTTTCTAAGATTTTCATGGTCGCAGCTACCATATTGTACGGCCGTAGGCGCTATTTGAAATTTATCAAAATTTACCGGGAGCACCGGTAAATCTTTATATTCAATTTTTCTCGAAAGCAAAAGTGTTTTAGGGGCTAAATTTTCTTGTGCTTATAATACATCCACAGGGGCATCCAAATATATCAAAATTTTAAAGAATCACTATCCACCCAATTTTCAAAAGTTCCCAAAACTTTGTATTACCTTTAAGGCCCGGTCACACAGAGGGGACGCATGGGGAACGCACGGCCAGCGCATTGGCAATTTGCAATTTTGGCCAGTGCGTTGTCGTGCGCCCAACTTTTGTCGTAGCTACAGCGAGCTGACACCAAATGCATAGCGTGTTGCTAGCGCGCTGAGCGCATACAGGGCGCATACAGTGCGCATACAGACCGTACCCAGAGCGCACATGATAACAACTTCCACGAATACACAGCGTGTTGCTAGCGCGCTGGACGAATGGTCCACGCATGCACCGCGTTCTACGACGCACGGCCAGCGCATTGGGAATCGGAAAAGGCCGTGTGCCTAACTTTTGTCATGATTTTGGAAAAGCTAGAGAGCTGACAAAAAATGCACAGCGTGTAGCTAGCGCGCTGTGCGTATACAGGGCGTGTGCTCCGCGTATGTCTGGCGCTGGTCTAGCGCGCTCAACGCACGTCTGGCGTGCCTTGTAATTTAATTAGTTCAAATACCTGTTATACTCTATGGTACATTCTTCTTATAGTTTTAATTCATTGATATGGTATTTTATTTGCTGTAAATCACGGACAAATTAATCTGAGTACTTTTGTGCTTCGGGTCTTCTTTAAATTCAAGGCATTAATTTCAATTCAAACGTACTTAATGTACCGTTGATCAATACGCAATCCTTGTCGATGTAGTGCATTTATCGAGAAAGACGATGTGTTTTCTTTCATGTAAGATTTAAACAAAATCGTGTACTTGATCTCTACTCAACTGACTATTTAAACAAATATACAATATGGCCTATTATTACAATGTATTTGGGTTTTTCAACTGTTTGTTTAAGGCCCAATCTGCACCATAATGATGAGAAATTCTGACGATAAACAGTGGAAAGCGTACTGAAACAGGTGTATCTAAGTTTCAGATCTTACTAATAGCTTTCCAATGTTCTCATGATGTGGCTCCATCTTATCTGCAACAGCGATTTACAAAATGTAAAACGGTTAGAAATTTGAAGTCACCACTATATATATATTGACTGCTATAGGAGGCATCGCTGTTTATAATAGGCTCAAGGGGACGTAACATCCTGATTTGACCCCTCGGCACGTTGGGGCGTCCCCGAGAGCGAGTATAGAAACAGCTTTGCTTCGAATATTAAAGCAATCCATACATCTTTTATATACTCAATTCACAAACAAATCTACAAAGAATTTTTACCTTATCCTTTTCTTGAGTAAAGAATGGAAAATGACAGAAAATCTGAGACAATGTCTGTAAATCTTCGCTGGAAAGTTGCCTGAATGTTACGATCATTCGGCAATCGCACCCAAACTGCACTTTTGTTTGCATCCGCGCTCGTACAAAGAAATTTGTTCGTTTGTTTACAGGCATGGTTAAAATCACGACTCCAATTTGACCAATCAGATGACTAGATTTATTCAACATGCTTAAGAGAGGTATAGATATGTATGTTAATGTGGTCAAAGCAAGGTCTTCTAGTAAACGGGCTTTGAGCATGCTGCCTCATGAGATATGGAATATTATCCTACACAATGTAAGGCAAGCTAAGAAAGTACCGACAACAATTCAAAACTACATTCCCCCTTTGAAATATAACATTTCCCAATCTACCAGCATAATAAAGTCTACAGTGAAGTTTGAAGAATTTCTGAATATATCGAGTCAATCCCAGCCACAGTGGATTCAATAACATGTCTGGTCATTGCTGGTAAATTCCCTCATCTACGAACATTATGAAATCAACAGCGAAATGTGGGGAAATTTTTCATTGTTACAAGTTCATTCCCAGGTCACAATTAGAGCAGATAGCGATGACGAAGCTATTTTGCCCAGAGAGGTGATTATGCACTCGTTTTTAATTGGTCGATCACACGACCGACGGGGTCTCTGATTGGCCAAGTAAAGCTGGGATTCCCCAAAAGTGGGTGTGTCACCATTAATTGGATGCCTATAAGAATACGCGACTGCGTCTTGGACGCCATTATCTCGTAAACTTACATGATCGTTCCTGCCTGTCGCTTAGTCACGCATTTTCAAGGAACCATCTCTCACAATGCTCTCAGCCAACAAATTCATTTTGAAAAACAGAAGTCTTGATAGATTTCATTCGGCATCATCTGAAGCAGATTGTCTGCACAGGTAAGAGTACATTTTCTTGCTCATAATGTAATACGGGGGCGGATACAGGATTAGGTAATTACAAAACAATGCCGGACAATTTCTGACTGAGAAAACTGGCGGAAGGGGGTTTAATATATTTATATATACATTAAAATACATATGAATAAAAAGATAAATGCAGGGAGAAACGAGTCTTATTGTGGGAACCCTTGGACACCATGTACTCTCTGCAACAAGCATGATTCGCATCCATCACTATTTTCTATTCTGAGCATTATTGAGAATATTATATACGTATTAGGCCCGTTCACACATAACACTTAGTGCGATTTGGATCGAGATGCAAAGGTCTATTTCTTGTCTGCGACCGTTAACACATGTCGATTTAGTGCGAATTGGATCGCGATGCAAAGATTGGTTGTTGTTGTTTTTTTTTTTTTTTTTTTGGGGGGGGGACCATTCACACACAGGGAGAATACTCGCTCGACGGCAAGAACGTCTGAAGGCTGCGCATGCGTGAATCTCGACGATATATGCGCGCTTGGAATCCTGGGATTAGATAAATCGATATTTGATTCTCAATACCATTCACACAAAGTATCGCGATTATTCTGAAAAAATCGCAAGACTTACTGCGAATTGAATCCCGAAGATAAGTGAAATTATTCTGTCCGCATAAAAAATAAATGATTTTTGAATTGATAAATGTCACTTTTTGATTGTTTGATCTCAAACGTATTCTTGTATACGCACCATACCTAGGGGGCAAAACCCCGATTTGGGGGGTTTTGAGACATGGGATGTTGTAAAAGGTCTTTTGGTATAAACGTGTTCAGGGGACCTCCCTTCACAATTTCTAGGTGGACAACCTTGACAATTTTTTGCCGTAAAAAAATGGCCGCCATTTTGAAAAATGGCCGCCATGTATAACTACTGTTGTACAACTCTGGGGATTACTTTTTAACAGCACCTCATTTTATCATGTGTAAGATATCATATGAAAGACAATTAAATTTTCTACAAGATGATACCTCATTCAATAAGTTTCGGGATGATTTGCATACCAATTTTGAGCCAAAAATGTGATTTTTTACCATTTTTTCAAAAATATGAATTGCGCCAAAATACATATTTCTCCATATTTATTTGATTGTGATGCTGACTGACTTGAAACTTGCTTAAAAACTGTTCAGTACCCTGGTTGATATCATATCCAAATTCCAAGTCTATTACTTTTCTAACTAAAAAGTTATAGCGCTCTAAAGTTGACACCTTGTTAAGAGCCAAAATGGCAAATTTGGTTGCTAAGGGCTATCTTCTCCTTAGCAACAGTAACATAGTGGCTTGAAAAATAGAATATATCACAAGAAATTGCTATCCCCAAGCAGATGACTACTTTGATAGGAAGTATGATGTCAAATGATGCATTTTTATCATATTTTAATGATAAATATCGCTTAGTTACCGTTGCTAGGGTAATAATATGCCTAGCAACCGATATATAACGTGTTTTCAGAGTCAAATTAGGATATGGGTCAAATAATGGGTCAAGTAAAATCAGACCTGTTCCAAGTGACAGACATAACTTGCCATCTTGAACATGTTCATAGTGCATGGTGTAGTTCACAACTTTCACCCTACGGCGATTTCGGCGATACTGGACGGTTTGGTTCAAAACTTGTACGTCTGTTATATTTGTTTTGCTAGATTGAAAGACATTGATGAAAGTCATTAGAACCTGCAATTCAAATGCCACTACCGTTTCTGTGACATGCCAATTCCCCTCCCCCCATGACTCCGAGACGTATACATACTCTCAAAATTAATAAGAGCATCATTTATTTCAAAAGTACACTTAATTTTAAAAATAGATGAAGAATCAAATGATACAGGGAAAAGTTTGACATTACCCGCTCTTCCCCTTTGAATCCTGAAATAAATCCAGACAAATAAGTCATAAATCAAGATCTAATCTACAGTTTTGTGACAGAAACCGATTATCGAGACAGAATAAATGAGACTTATATTAAAATAATAGACAGAATTTACACTGTGAAACATTTAAATGTACACACTTGGTAATGGGGTCATAACTTGCACCTCACCCCTTCCGTGTGACATGCCCATCCAAGCTCCCGTAGTTGAAAATAATATGTAGATAAACTAGATATTAGTGCCAAGCACAATATAATTTTGAAAAAACAGTGTTAATCAATTATGCCTGAATTGTTAAGGGCAAGCATAATTATGCCAACACCATATCCTTCTTGCTTCATTTCCCTCTACTCTAAAGTTTGACAAAAGTCGATTTCTATAAGTATTTATCTTTCTTTGTCACGATTGAGTGATTGATTAATTTGTTGAGGGACAAGAAACCAGTTAAAGTCAGTAGTGAAATAACATGAGATTTGGATGCATATGACAGACAGGGTCTAAACGATTTAAGAGATTTTTAATAATCAGGGGCTTATAAAGGGAAAGGGGCCAATGTTCAAGTTATGCATACAAAATCAAGTTTTTAAAAATCAAACGAGGAAATAGCGAGGAGGCTTAGCAGAGATGTCATTTAGTTTCGATTAATTTGGTGAGGTTATAATTTGGTATGTAATGATAAAACATAACATATAAATCCTTTATGAATAACTCAAATTCCTAATTGAGTATTCCTTTTGATTTGTTGAAATTGAACCTTTATGATCTTTTGGATGAGCTGGAAGCTCCTCTCAGTTTTGACCTGCTATGACTGCTAGTTGAATCACTTCATGACAGGTACCAGGAAAATTGTTAAAGAACTTGGGGTAGATATGACAGATTAATACCGGACGACTATACTATTAAACAGGAGTTCCAGAGTATTTCAGTACTAGATCAGAGACGTGGTTCAAGATTTGTATGTGAATATGCACCGATTGCATCCACAGCACCAATGATGCCTTGAAGTAGCTGGAGTGCCTTATGGAGGAGATAATATCATACTCCACACACTCTTACAAGAACCAAAGATTTGTGCAAACACATTGTGACAAATCGAAGAGGGAAATCAAAACTCACCTTTTCCCCCAATGATCTATGTGATATACTTCCTGTACTGTACTTTTTTGTCCTCTTTTCATATATTTGTATTTGTAAGCGCTATGGTACTTATTGTTTTTAGCGCTCCTAAATATTCGATATTATTATTATTATTATTATTATTAATGAGAAAATTTCATCTGGGATCTCCCTCACAACTGCCTACGACAAGCTTCTAAATGGCCCGATACCACAATAAAGTGAAGGTGGAACCATGGAAGAGAAATTGCAGACCAGGTAGCAGCAGAGGATGCTATCATCTAGTATCTGCAATTGATGTCTTTCATTTTAAAGAAGAAAAAGAGGGGTAGGGTACAAATTCTAAACCCAAACCGTCTAGTATCTCCCAATTAGGTATTGCGCTTATATCACATCTATCTTTTGAATTCTGGGCCCCGTCTTAGTTGTGATATATCCAACTAAAGAGCCTCGTACTCCTTGTCCAAACCAACGTTATCGTGAATATCTTGAAATCAATTCACAACTCTGTATGAATAGTGGCGCCTAGATGTAACTGCGCCCCCCCCCCCCCCATAATTGCCCAAACTTATCTACGTAACTGCACAAGCAAGTGAGTGAGGCGACCAGATTAGGAAGCGATCGAGTTGTAGGTCTATGTATAGTTTTGTATTTTAATCATAGAAAAGTGTTTTTCTATTCATTTCTGCTTAAATGGTGAACAAAATTAACGAACACATCGGTCAAGGAATATAGCAAGGTATCCCAAAGATAAGATTTGTTCAAGAGTTGAAGTTTTCTTCAAAGGTTGGAAGATGATTTTCTTTTGAGAAAATTGAATCACAGTGTAAAAATTCAGTTATTAAGGGTGCAATATCTCACAAGAAGCTGGTGAAACTTTTAAGAGGCGGCAAAGCAAGGGGAATTACATTTCTGTGTCAAATTTGGAGCTATTTAAAAAAATGCTAATTATAAACTATATCTATATTTGTGTGCAAAATTAGGAGATCCCGTGCAACCTACTAATGCGAGCCGCGACCTAGCTTTAACAAAATTATATTACTAATGCATTTAGCCTCGCATCTTGAGGTGCATTTATTCAATAGGATCAAAAGTTGTCTTCTTTTCTTCTTTTCTCCCCTTTTCTTTTTCACTCTTTTACGTTTTGTGTCCCTCCTTTTTGTGCTCTCTTTAAATGATCGTGCCCCTACCCTTATAGAGATGCCACTGCGTACCAAACAGATAGAAATATATTGGTTTGTGATTGGTTGGAAGGCTTTTGATCAAACTGGATAAATCATAACTCTGAATGATGATAATTTACTGGACTCATGTATTTTCACTTATGACGTATATTGGTTTCTTGCAGAAGGCAATATTTGTAAAATCTAATTTGGGCCAAAGTCTATAAGGAGAGTGGAGGGACTCCGAGACACACAAAAAGAGTTGGGCATTGGCATTTTAATAATCCCTTTTAAATATTTAAATAATTTGAAGACATTGACAAACTTCCCATGCAATTTTAACCATTAGATTTTAAATGCATTGTGGAGATTTCTTGGAGAAAAAAAAAACTGGACCAATTTTTCGATTGCAATGTACTTTATGCATACAGCTTTGGACAAATTGCTCTAATTTTGATTTAGAAGAGAGGGAGGGTCACAGAAGGGGGAGAGGGTGCACATTCTGAACCCCTCCATCCATTGTCTTCATGATTCAGACTAAAATTCATGACTATCACCTGGAGCCAGAACTCATTTTTACTTGACAGATAGCCTGCGTTATTTCTGAACTCCCATCATGTCCTTAACAACATACTGCCCCACCCCAAAATTACTTTTGATGGGGGGGGGGGGGCATTTCAGGGGAGGGAGGGGGAAGGGTGAAAGTTCTGAACTACACCATGCACTATGAACATGTTTAAGATGGCAAATTATGTCTGTCACTTGGAACAGGTCTGATTTTACGTAATATTTGACCCATATCCTAATTTGACTCTGAAAACCCATTATATATCGGTTGCTAGGCATATTATTACCATAGCAACAGTAACTAAGCGATATTTATCATTAAAATATGATGAAACTGAATCATTTGACATCAAACTTCCTATCAAAGTAGTCATCTGCTTGGTGATAGCAATTTCTCGTAATATATTCTACTTTTCAAGCCACTATGTTTCCGTTGCTAAGGAGAAGATAGCCCTTAGCAACCAAATTTGCCATTTTGGCTCATAACAAAGTGTCAACTTTAGAGCGCTATAACTTTTTAGTTAGAAAAGTAATAGACTTGAAATTTGGACATGATATCAACCAGGGTACTGAACAGTTTTTAAGCATATTTTTGAGTCAGTTAGCATAATGATCAAAGAAATATGGAGAAATGTGTATTTTGGCGCAATTCATATTTTTGAAAAAAATGGTAAAAAATCACATTTTTGGCTCAAAATTGGTATGCAAATCATCCCGAAACTTATTGAATGAGGTATCATCTTGTAGGAAATTTAATTGTCTTTCATATGACATCTTACACATGATAAAATGAGGTGCTGTTAAAAAGTTATCCCCAGAATTGTACAACAGTAGTTATACATGGCGGCCATTTTTTTACGGCAAAAAATTGTCAAGGTTGTCCATCTAGAAATTGCTAAGGGAGTTCCTCTGAACAGGTTGATACCCAACAACCTTTTACAACATTCCATGTCTCAAGAACCTGTCTTGCCCCCTGGGTACCACATGATTACTAACTAATCTCTGTGTAATATAAACAAAAATATCACGACAACTTTCCCTCCTTTCGTTTGACAGATACAATATGTCACCAAACAAGCCCTCCTCTCGGACGAGTGGTTCTGGACCTAGCCGTAATGACGGCGGTGGAGGCGAGGAGTAGACCCGCTGGCTAAACCTTCTACATGCACCGGTCCGGAGATCCAGCTATGTCGTTTATCGAGACCAACTTGTAGCTGTAGCGACGGACAGACGGTCAGACGGAAAGAAGGGGGAATAGCCAGCAAGATGTCTACAATTTGTTACTTAAACTACTGTTTTAAAGTAACATTACACCTCATAGACGCTGAATTTGTATTTAATATTTATAATTATTTAATATGCTATACGCATTAGCATTGTTAAAGCGGTCCTAATAAATACATTACGGAACAAATTGTGCAGCGCTTTTTACCTGCAAGGGTTTATTATATGCGCTTTACCAGATACCCTTTGGAGTTTATAACGCATTTTGGTATGCTTTACATTCCTGCTTCTTTTTTCAATTAATAATATACTGATGAGAATTATTGTATTGCTTCGTAAAAATCAAAGTATTTACTGTTGACTCTATAATTGATGTAAGTTTATTTCTGGCTTCATTTTGACGGTAGCCCTATGCGACTACCCGCTCTTCGCCAGCTAATTTAGTGGACCTCTTTGAAAACCAACTTTTGTCAAAAGGGCTCATCAACCCAATTTATGTTGTAAATGAATAATTGAATAAACACTACTTTAATTCTTTTGAAGAGGGTATATTCATTATACTAAAAGACGTGGGTATTAATGCATATAACATCGGATACAAAGTCGAATTGATAAATGTTATAATTTTTTTCGCAATTATGTTAAAGATACTAACAAGGAGCTGGAACTACAATACCATGATACAACGAATTTGTAAACATGTGAAGTGCGACTAAAAAGGCCTCGAAAAAAATTGGATAAATGTCTGTTTTATTTTCTTTAAACCTTAATTTTTGTTGATTGATTGATTGATTGATTGACTGATTGATTTGATTGATTGGTAAGTAGCTTGATTGATTTTTTTCGTGTCATTGATAATTGGGTGGTTGGATTGGTTGTTGATTTGACTGACTGACTGATTGCTCGATTGAAAGATCGTTTGGTTGGTTGATTTGACTGACTGATTGATTGGTCGATTGAAAGATCGTTTGGTTGGTTGATTTGCCTGACTGATTGATTGGTCGATTGAAAAATCGTTTGGTTGGTTGATTTGACTGACTGATTGATTGGTCGATTGAAAGATCGTTTGGTTGGTTGATTTGACTGACTGACTGATTGGTCGATTGAAAGATCGTTTGATTGGTTGATTCTGTTATTGATTGTTTGTTTGTTTGTTTTATGTGTAGAATAATTCGATTGATTGGTTGGTTGGTTGTTAGTTTTTTTTTTTTAGTAACTGATTGATTCCTTGATTGATTGATTGATTAATTAATTGATTGATTGGTTGAATAAATGAATGACCGTTTTTTTTTTCATTTTTTTCATAGGCCCTTATTCTCTTCTCTCATAAAGAAAATTGTACATAATTTATAACATTGTATACAAAATTACAAAATAATCTTCACATAAGTCAAAATCAATTGCAAGTGATCTATAACATTCCCATACAAGGTTATAAATGAATAAGTTACACATTTACAGATGAAAAATATTCACATAAACAAAATTATATTTTCACATTTTAAACAAATCGCAAAAAAGTTTTTTTGGATGATTTCTTAATCGATTGATCAATTGTTTGATTTTTTGTATTCATTGATTTTATTTCTCAAAGCTCCAATTCTTTTTCCTACATAACATAGTTTATACAAAACTTCAACATAATTATAACAAAACTTTTTGTATCATTTGATAAACAAACATAAATACAATATAATTCTTCGAATATTTCACAATGTATAGGACGAAAATATATCACAATCACATAATAGAAAGATATTACCGCATTATACAATTATTTCAACCCAAAAGCTAGAACAAAACAATGTTTTTTCAGAAAAAGACTGAATATTTAAGAAAATATATATAAACAAAATAATGAGTTTCATAATTATCAACATACTATTATAGAAACTTTAAATTTTGAGTTTTTTCTTTTACTAATATACGAACTAACTTTCCTCGAAGGGCGCCTAACAACAACACTTTTGTTTTATCCTTGTTTACACGGAGTCCGGATAGTTTTGTAAAATTCTCTAACAGTTTTAATACTGTTGTTATGGAGTCCTCCTCTTGAACAAAAGGGGTCATTTCAACTGTATACATAACCTGCTGTACTTCCACCTCTCCAAAACTAATTCCTTTGACACCCTTATTATATCGTATATTATGTGGCAGTATTTCTATACATAAGATAAACAGATATGGAGATAGAGGATCCCCCAGTCTTACAACCATTTCCACATTAAAATAGCCGGTCGACTTTCCTCCATTAAAGATACAATTTTTGTGTATTTGTATACAGTATTTTCACCCATCTACGAAATTGCTGACCGAATCCAAAAGAACATAACGTTTTGTATAGAAACCTGCGCGACGCCGAGTGAAGGGCTTTCTCAAAGTCAATAGTTATCAGAAACCCTGCCATGTTGAGACGTATGGAAAACAACATCGTCAATTATTCTAATCGCTTCTCCTATCCCCTCATAAGCCCTATTTGATCTATCAGAACAAAATGTTTCGAGATGTCTTTTGTTCATGTGGCCTTTGCTTTAAAAACAATTTTATAATCGATATTTAATAAAAAAAAATATTTGCATATTAAAAAAAATAAAAATGTGAATCCTTGCCTTCTTTAGCTATTAAGATAATAATGGCCTGTTTCTGTGATGCCGATAGAGACATAGGCTTCACTGAAAGCACCTATAGTAGTAAATCTTTTATGTCTGACCAAAATGTATTGTAAAATTCAACTGTTAGCCCATCATTCCCTGATGATTTTTTTTCTTTATTTCTTTCAGAGCCGCAAAACATTCCCCTTCAAAGATCTCACATTCACAATTTTCTATACTTCCCATGTCAATGTTGGTAGATCTTCAAACAAATCCCTCTATCAGATGCAATTGTTTCTTCCAAATCTTCCCAAGGGTAAAGTTTGGTGTAAAATGTTTTTATTTAGTTTAACATGTCTTTCTGCTATATATTCTCCTCCCTCATTGACTACTTTCTTAATGATGCTTCTCCTTTTATTTGCATGCAACAGCTGACTATACTACCTTGTGTCTCTTTCCCCACTTTCATAATATGATGCCCGGGATCGAATTATTATATGCCTTCGTAAATATATTCATAACCGTCTGCGATTTCTTTTTTCTTATTTTTTAATTCCTTAACTTTTTCTTCAGTCACTCCTTAAATAATAATATGTTCTAATTTTTCAATTTCTTTTTCAAGAAATTATCTTTTCTCTCTACGATCATGGCTAATCTCTTTGTAATGGCTTATGAAAAACTCCTTATTTTCACTTTCATATAGTCCCAGAGCACTCTCCTATCTTTAATTTCTAACTTTTGTTCCTCCTTTAATCGGATTATCTCTTCTTTCATCTGTTTAACATATTCTACGTTTGTACAAAAAGACTGTTGTTAAATTTCCAATAAGATCCATTCTTCTTTTCTATATTCTTTTCTGTTTTATCGTAGAAAAACAGAAAAAATGCTGAGAGGTCGGGTGCTAAAGAAATTATTATATCGCACATTATAACCCGCCCTTCCAGACATTCAGATATGAGCCAATGATCTAATCGACTTTGCATATTAAATTGATTATTGTTGGTGAAAATTTTGTAAATGGGTTTCTTTCTCTCCATATATCTATTAAATGTAACTTTTCCATAAAATCGCTACTGAACTTCCTTACTTAATCTTTTTATGAGGCTTTGGTTTACTTTTCCATTATAATCCATGACATAATTAATACTCCTATTTATCTTGTTTAAGCTTGTATGTAGTATGTAATTTGTATTACTTTTTTCTCTTCATCCCAGGTCGTAAAATATACGTAACATAACAATATTCTACACCCTTGAATTTCAGTCTATTAATATCGTCTTGCTCTATGTTTATATTAATTTACTTTTTATTTTGTAGGTCATTTTGAAACAATATGAGGGAAACAAAATTCCTGGTTAGACGTCGTTGGAATAAATGTTGCCAGAGCAATCGTCGGAAGACAAAAAAGGGTAGAGGGAGCAGTCACATTGTTGTCAAGGAAGTGGCAAATAACTGTTTAACTGACTGAACGCATACGGGCAACAGAGGGGGCTCCATCCTACATTGGATCGGAGCCATCAATTCACAGATTTTGACCAACTTGGTTTCACTTGGTCACAACCAGTGGCGTACGCAGGATTTTTTCAAGGGGGGGGGGGGGTTTAACATTTTGAAATCGGGCCGAACTTTTTTTTTTTTGGGGGGGGGGGGTGGGGGGGGGGGGGGGGTAAGCGGATACTATTTTTTTTTTTTTTGGTCTCGAAATTTGAAAATTTGACATTTTCTTCGTTGGGGGGGGGGGGGGTAAGGTTCGTAATATTTAGGTGATATCGGTCATCGTTACATCGGGCTTAAATATTTCATAATATTGATAATGTTGCAGAGGATAAGTTAGACTTTAATACTTTTATTCATCCTATCCTATCCCGCACCCCGCTCCCCCTTCTCTATCTCTCTCTATCTCTTTGTCCGTTCATCCTAACCCTTCCTTAACCCCCCTTCTTTCTCCCTAATCTTTAGGAAACATCAGTCTAGTCTTGTCTTGTCACAGCCAGGGATATATTATCACAATGACAATGGAATTGAGTGGGGTTGAGGCTTCGGGGGGGGGGGGGGGTCATTTGGTTTATTGTTTTAGTGATATGACCTTGGTTATCAAACGCTTATCATAATTGGGGTTTTCCATGATCTGTTCAAATACATATACAATCGCAAGGGTCATAGGCATCTGTAATGCATGTTTGATTGTTTGTGGGTTTTCCCAGCGTATATTCAAGGCAGAGTCGATGCATCTGTGTATGTTAGACATGTTTACATGCAACACGGGTTGTAGAATGCTTGGGGTGCTTTATCCTGTTAGAATCAGAGAAACATATTATGCTGTATTCAGCTCTTTGTCTTCTCTGCATGTACGAACAAAATTATAACAATAAATATAACATGAATTGGGGGCGCTTTATATTAGTTTGGATTATGTTTTAATCATCACGTGATAACACAAGGCAATCATAATGGCTAGAAATTCGTTTGTTTTGAAAACAATGATTGCCACCCGGCAAGCCCGAGATTAACTTCGTTACCTAGGTTGCAATCGAGTTTTAGTGTAATTTAATTAGTTCGAATACCTTTTACACTCTATGGTACATGTCTTCTTATGGTTTCAATCAATTGATATGGTATTTTATTATGAGAAATTACGACAATTCAAATCTTTATTCCCCCTTTAACATTTCCCAATCTACGAGTATCATGAAGTGGATTCAATAACATATCTGATCATGCCTGGTAAATTCCCTTATCTACAAACTTGATGAAATCAACAGCGAAGGGTGGGGAAATTTTTCATTGTTTCAAGTTCATTCCAAGCCACCAATTTGAGCAGATGGCGATGACGAAGCTTTTTTGCTTTTGGAGATAATTATGCACTCGTTTCTGATTGGTCGATCAAACGACCGACGGGGTCTCTGATTGGCCAGGTAAAGTTGGGATTCCCAAAGAGTGGGTGTGGCTCTATTAATTTTATGCCTATAAGTATACGCGTCTGCGTCTTGGACGCCATTATCAATCTCTAGCTATCAAGCACCATCACTTCTCAGTTGTATGTTCAGAGCGGTTTCAAGGAGTCATTCTACATAATGCATTTAGCATTGAATTCTTTCATTTTGAAAAACAGAAGTCTTGATAGATTTCATTCGGCATCATCTGAGG